GTCAGTTTACAAAATGCATCACAATCTGCAGCTGTGCGCCAAATGCACGGTTTTCACGCATCCCCTATTTTTAAAAAAATTTTCGGTCTCACTACTGCACCACGAAAGCAGAGCCTGGTGCAAACACCAGCAAGGCCTGGTAGATAATTTTACTCCACGTAATTCCTTTTTTCCCGAGGAAACTCGACCACTAAATTGCATCACTCCCGAAATACATGAGCGAAAAGTTCAAGAAATGTCTTCTCAATTAAACTTACAAGATGAACGTCACTATTGGAGCACTTGTATTAACATATTTTAAGTCAAATCCGCTGATTACAAAATTTTGCGACAAAAGTACCAGTCTTTATATTTACTTAGCTACTTTTGTTTTTCTTGGTATCACACCAGCAGTGTCCTAGAATTGCCGACTTTGGGTGTAAAGCAACACCCTATGAGCAGGAATTTTTCGCTCCTTTTCCCCATATTTTATGTGAATTTGTCACTCCTGCCTGACATTGTCTAATTGCACATGCCAAACCCCTATTTCCCTTTCTGATGTTTTCAGATGTCATCCAAAACCGAGCTCACTTGAAACCACCAAGCATAAACGAGGCTCCACAGAACCTGGACACCTATGGCTATGTCCTGCCTCACCTACATCTGAATCATGTCTATGTATGCACAGAACAAGGGCGTCAGGTACCTCCAAGCCCAATAACCCCAGCGACCCCAGCCGCTTGCACGCGTTAAGTTTGGTTTGTTTACAAAATGCATCACAACCTGCAGCTGTGTGCCAAATGCAAAGTGTTCACGCATCCCCTATTTATTTTTTTTTGTCTCGCCACCACACCGCGCAAGCAGGGCCTGGTGCAAACACCCACAAGGCCTGGTAGAGAATTTTACTCCACGTATTTCTTTTTTCCCGAAAAACTTGACCACTAAATTGCATCACCCCCGAAATGCAGGAGTGAAAAGTTCAAGAAATGTCTTCTAAATTAAGCTTACAAGATGAATATCACCATTTGAGCACATATATCAAAATATTTTAAGTCAAATCAGCATTTAAAGAAAGTGTTCGAGAAAAGTACCAGTATTTATATTGGTATAGCTATTTTTTTGTTCTCGGTGTCATACGACTGTGATTCCACTTTATTCTTTCTTTCTTTTCGATTGTCTTTAGAGGTACCATTTGCTGCCTAAAATTTTGACCAACTTCTCTGCAATATGCTCCGACTGCAAACTTGTACGTATTTCATATCTAAATTGGGTTAATTCGCCAGCCGCCCAAACATGTTTGATGTGCACCCTAGCACGAAACTGATTTTTACCGCCACTTTTGCCACCTTAAACCCTCGGTTAACCGTTTCCTTGGTTCATGGCGGTGCTCAATAAGGATGAATCCAAGCATTTCGAGTGTCTGACCCACCAGGCTACCTGGCAAGGCTAGGTAATGCTGCCATATAGAGCCTTGGGACAGACCTGACGCAGCTAATACAGAAGCATTTGATGGCGAAATTCTGCCCTCTGGAGGTGTTCATCATGCACACGCCTTACTTGTTCCGCATTTTAATTTTGAAAGGTGGTGGGCATGATTGATATTCATATTAGGGGGGGGGGGGGGAGTCGGATGACTCCGTCTGCCAGCAGGACCATGCAAAAGGTACTGAATTTTTGTTTTGAGGGAGCAAGAAGAAGCCAGTAAGCCTCCTGTGGACCAAGTAATTGCTTACCTTACCTGTTTTCAACACATCATTGGTAACCAGAGTTAGCCATTTTCTGTTTTAATGCATCGAGTTTTGCCATAAGACAAATTACGATGCCAGAAGGCATACAAAGTGCAATGTTCCATATTCGTGGTTACTTGTCCCAAATTTCCTACAGTGGTCCCTCATTGTTGCTTTAACCAGATGTTTTCTATAGTTGTCATGGTTTGCTGACCGGCAAATGGTTACTGTATTCATGTACTATATTTTTAACACAGGGATACTCTAAGCTACATAGCAATTATAATATGAGTTAAATATTGGTACATAGCAAATAGTCAAACCACCCCATTTAAAATGTGAAGCTAGCATCTCAAACTTTGTCATTAAATATCAACAAAGAAGCCCAAATGGATGCATTTGCTGCAGCTGAAAAGGCAAGCAGCAAGACTGGCATGGCCATCTAAAAGTTATATTATTTTTGGAGAAGAGAGATTGTTTTGTGGAGCATATTCATATTGTCCTTGACATAGGTTAACCATGACAATCAAAATAAATCGTTCAAAGGTATTTAGATTGATTTGTGTGTTGTCGACTTTGTCTGATGTCGACAGGCCTACACAAATGAACTGAATAAAAATGCAAGTTGAAACCAGCCAAAAACTAGCTTTAAATATCATGTTTTTATCACAAGTGCTACTGTCAACAGATAGGTGAGTTGAGATGACGTTCATGATATCGGCTACTCTAAGTTAGGTTAAGTTGGTCAAGTGCATAGCAAGTGGCAATAGAAATTGTGCAAGAATCAGCAACTCACAACTGCTGCTGTGATACAAACAGGTTATACAGGATGAGATGATGTAAGGCCTCTTTAGGTTAGGCATAGGCTACTTTCATGGAAATAAGTATTGGTATTTTGTAACAAACAGTGACAAAATATTTGTTTTCCCTGGCGCCATCTTAACAGAAGCCAGAAGTTTGCCTGTTGTGTTTGACTTGGTGATGGGCTGATGTATAGGAGTCCAAGATTTTTTGTTTGAGTGTTTTATGCTTGTTGAATTTTCTGTTGTTATTTTGTCATTGAATTCCTTAGCTTTGTTTCGTTTTAGAAGTGCTGTGGAAGGGGATTGAAAAGTGCAGCATCAAATTATTGGTGTTAATGATGTGTTATGCTCATAATACTGTCATGAAATTACTATGCTTTAACACGTGCCCGGCTGGCCGGCTAGATAACCTTCGCTCGGGTGGGGGGTCAATTTGACGCTCTCCCTCTGTGATCTCGGGAACTAAGAAAGCTAGAGACACCAAATTTAGAGGGTGTCTTGACCTTTACGTGAACTCACTTAGGTTAAGGTTTCAGTTTCCTAGGTCATCACCTTCAGGCCGAATAAGGTCGAACAAGGTCAAATTCCAGGTTAGTCCCCAAAGCGTCCCCAGAACCTAGGCAACTGTCTCTAAGCAAAAGGTCACAAGCCCATTTGAGGTCATTTACCTTGTTTAACCCTTTGAAGGTCATGGGGACCAAAATCATACAAGACTGCTCTGCGTTTTGCATTTGAATAAGTGACAAAGATTACGCTAGGCAGTACGTTCCTAAAACAAAACGTTCGACCCGGGTCATCTTAGGTCAGTGGCCTGTTCTGACCTCGAAGAAGTCATTTGAAGATTATAATGCGGTTCCTGCTGTCAATAAATTCGAGATGAGCACCAGAAACTATGCCATATAGCAAGCCCTCGAGTAATAAATCAGGTTGGTTTTGACCTTGGTCTAACCATCACACCTGACATTAGGTCAACGCAATTTGTTTATTCAATATTTGTGGTGCCTAAGAAGGCATCTCAGAGATGTAAATCTTCGTCAAACACTCAGTTGTTGTATCATATTGAACGATTCCATAGAAATTGCCTTCGCTGAAACCGTGGGCTGGCTTTGACCTGTCATAGGTCAGCGACCTTATAAGGTACATCTAAAATTTGTATGCCAAGCGATCTGCTATGCAATTTTCTACAGCTATGCAAAACTTGGCGCGGCTACGCCGTGCCGTTCAGGGACCATTCGGGAAAAGCCCTCGGGAGGGGGGGGGGGGGTCAATTTGCCCCACCTCCACCCGAGCGCGTGTTAATGTATTCTGTTTCACTTTAATGGCCTAAGACGTTAAAAAACGAAATATTTTTGTCAGGTTCCTGATATTACGTCCATGCCAACTTGAAATAGATGTATTTGTTTGCTGAAGCATCCGTCACGAGCTCATACGTTCCATCTTTTGTGAATTGATTTTTTCACTCCCGCACGGTCTTTTTGCGATAGAAGTTTTTACTCCCACCCCAGTTCGAAATCGATTTTAGCTCCCTGTTCTGGCCTATCGAGAGCCTATTTCTAGCTGTAGAGGTCCCAAGACGAACTGAGGTGAGCCCATTCTAGCTTGTGGAGGTTCCATCATTGATTGTCGAGTGTCAAATTTGTCCTGCACAGAGCCCGTTCCTAGCCTATCGGGCCCATTGTGATCTGTAGAGGTCCGTCATTGGCTGTGAAAGGCTCAGTCGGGACTATAGACTTTCCAAACTTAGGGGGCCCAGTATGCTTTTTCTGAGTTAGCCCCCCCCCGCCCTAACTTGAACATAGTCCCCACGCCTCTGCCGCCGCGTCCACCCACGGCCATAGCGCTATCCAATGTCCGATTCTTAAGATTTCGTACCATGTCTATATAAGGCTTATAAGGAACAATGAGGCCCTCCCCCCTGAGATGAATCATCTCCCCTGAGTGGCCATGATACGGAAATCGGATGAAGATATAGATCTCTGAACCCAAACTGTTTGCTCCGAGACCGATAAAGATCTACTTCAACAGTTCTGGCAATCTCACTGAGGCGAACAGATTGTCCGTCACATCAGCCCGGTACTTAATGCTGAAAAGGCACCCTTGGCGCGGCATGGCGAAGAACTGTGATGAACAGGGCGACGATCGCGGGGGCGGAGAACGCAGTCAAGTTTGTTCCGCGCTGAGAAACTTGTATCGGCCACGAAGCGCTTATCACCGCGACAAAGACAATGATGGTTGCAGCCTATTCACGGCGGAATCCTGTTCCAATTTTAGTTTGGAATGCCAATCTTTGCAGCTCCATTTTGGAATGTTGCTCACTACGCCTTCAATTCCCAGTGTTACTAATTTTTTATGAGGCAGAAATACTTTTCACGTACATTAAAGTCTACATCTTAACTAAATTAGGCGCTGACCCTTGTCACTGAGCGTTGCGCAGACCCCAAAAACCGCACAAGAAAGCAGTCCCTAGTGCACACCCAAAACATCACACACGTATTTCAGAAGTTTATTTCCACTTTTATTATGTTTCGTCACAACCACATGCCTTGCCCACAGTTTGCGTACAAGCTAGAGCGACGCCAATCTGGTAAAACCTAGAACGCGCGTGGCCTATTACTGCTGACTTTGTATTCTTCATGTTTGAAAGCCACTCCTATGTAGGGACACGGAAAGTTTTCGCAAGTTGGAGAGGGGGAGCGATAGCGATTTTTGTTGTTTATTTCCAGTCAACGCCCATAGAGCCAATGCTAAGGCTTCAGAAAGCTGGTTGGGGGATACCTTCCCGCCCCACGGGCTCAGGACCCCTGTGAATAAGCAGCAAAAACAGTATAATGCATTCACGCGCGTAACAAATCTAGCGACCAAAAACACTGGCTTGCCAAAAGGCTATCGTAATTCGGTCGCGGCGCATCGCCCGATATGACCTTATCGCATCACATGTTAAGCTTGTCAAACGCCGACCTTTACCTGCTCACAGCAACCGCGGTGACGTAGCGCTATCGCCTGGCGTTGCCCACACTTGCAAAGGTCAGCTCACGCCGGTGCGTGGCGCGGGCGGCGAAGGGTCCCGTGACGTCACGGCCGCCGCTGACGTCATTGACCGCCGGTGGCGTCATCGGTCGGCGGGCAGGACACGACGGACATCGAGCACGCAGAACGTGGAGCGGCAGGTGGGGCAGGGGCACTTGGAGGCCAGCCAGGTCTCCGGGCTGTCCTGGTCCTGGCGGGAGGCGAACCTGTCGAGACAGCGGCCGCAGCGTGAGGCTCGACGCTCCCGGCACCGCACCGCGCGTCACTGACAACCGGGGGCCGGCAGAGCACGGCGGCCTGACAGCATCTCAGCAGGCCTGGTGTTTGCCCAAGCATGGACGGCGCCAGCGACACCAACCGCTGCCCGCTGCGGCACGGATCGCACACCAATGCACCGCAGTCTAATGTCGACAGGGAACATCGCCGACAGGGGCACCGCGGTCTCTGCTGTTGGTCATTGTCAGAGCGGCGAGAGCGCAACGGACGATCCCCCCCCCCCCGCTCAAAAGTATGATAAAATAAACAACGGTGGGCACACAACGACCCGCGTCCGTCATGATTCACTAAAACAGAACAATACCACGGCGGCGCTTTTGTGGCAGTGCCTGATAGTCTAGTTAGATCATAAGCTTGCGAAGTTGGGTTTCGGCGTCAGGTAACGACCAGGGAAGACGATTCCATCACGATTGGGCGGCGGGGACATGCTGCCGCATGGTCAGGTCATGGAAACTCACTAACGTATACCCACCTCCATTCATAAAATGTAAGGCGATTGAAGAAAACTATCGGTAGCCATTTGAAGCACGATACGGGCTTCGTTCTGAACAAGTTCGTGCATACACCGAGCCAAAGCTTCCACGGGACCCCCCATTGGCAAATGAGACAAGAACCCCACCCAGTAAAGCATTAAGGGAGGAACAAAAGGTAGGCCACATCGAATGGGCATCGCCATGTTACACCACATTTTTTTTTTACCGACTCATCAATGACCCTCACTGACGCGGCTGGCCAGTTTCCAAATCCCACATACGCATTCTGAAATGATTCCGTCCCGTCCGATTCCCATAACATTATGACTCACGCGCCTGGCTAGGTCCAAATCCCACAGACGCATTCTGAAATGATTCCGTCCCGTCCGATTCCCATAACATTATGACTCACGCGCCTGGCTAGGTCCAAATCCCACAGACGCATTCTGAAATGAATCCATCCCGTCCGATTCCAATAACATTATGGCTCTCCATTACGCGCCTGGCTAGGTCCAAATCCCACAGACGCATTCCGAAATGAGTCTATCCCGTCCGATTCCAATAACATTATCGTCATTCTGCAGATGTTCATGCCCAACCGCAGACAGGAACACACCTGCACCGTCAAAAACATGCCCACGTATCAGCGGTAAACATGCTTTGCGCGCGTTTTTTTCGCTTAGTCATTGCCAACTGCCAGAGCCCTGCCAGACCTGTCCAATTCATGAGAGAGCATCTTGACAAAACAATGTTTTCCACGGAGCCATCATATTGCACGCTTCTCGACGTTGATCCTCCACTATATCTTTGCCAGCTATGGGATATATGATTTTCCGGGTCGCAGATTAACGAAAACAAACTAAACTAATGAGGAGTACGTGACCTCACCCAGGCAGAGAAAATCCCGATCACAGCAGAGGGCGACAAAAGAAACAGGAGCGGCCAGCAACACGTCCGCCCGCCGCCACTCGTCCCGGTGGCTCAGTTGGTTGAAGCGCCCGCCTTCCGATCCACCGACCCGTGGCGGGGTGGGTTCTAGACGCTTCAAGCGCTCGCTATTTGCCCTTCACAGGGGTGGTCTGCGGCCGGTGGCAGCGGTCGCGCTAAAGGTCAGTTGACGTTAGAGGGAAGGACTGGACCATGCCGACCAGTAAGGCAGGTTCAAGTTTCGCCACTGAACTCTGCCACTGCCTGGAATTGTACGATCAGATGGTAAGGGCCAGGATCCACACAACGCGCACTGCTTAGCGTGAGCTCTGATCCAAGAGACCCATCCATTTGAAAGGTTCCGATCAAATCTTAAATAAAAAACATTGCGTTACATTGCTGACGATGGACATACAGGTGGACGCAAAATCGAGTTTATTCAACAAGTTTAGATTTATTTCAACAAGGGTCGTACCAACGATTTCGTATTAAGAAGTTAGTTTCGTATAAAAAACAAAATATACGTGCTATGACAAGATCGTAGTCAGAACTGGAGAAAACACCATCCTACCCAGGATTTCAGACATACTATCGAGCATGACGTCATGACATGCATAAAGAGGCCCGGGAGCATTAATAACACAAACAACACGATGCATCATGCAGTTCACACCACATGAATGGTCTGCACGTTAATCACCGCTGGAAGCACCACCAGGGGCAACATCGAGCACCTCCGTCAAAGCGGTCATGAGAGAGGCGTCCGTCGTGTTGGCAGCCAAGTCCCGTCATGACCCGATCCAGCGGTCACCAGAGGTCAGCCGGGGCACGCGTCCACCACAACGGCCACCGACTCGCCGCAAGGGCCCCTCACGGCGCCGGCGTCTCCCCGTCTCGCGGCCGCCGGCCGCCCATCGGCGCGGCGGGCACGGCCGTCTGCAGATGCTGCATCACCTGCTGCAGCAGCAGCAACGTCTGCTGCGCGTGCTGGTCGGAAGGCGGGACGACCGGACGCGTCGCTGTAGCGCCCGGCGCTGGTGCTGACGGGGTGGGACCCACCGGCCCGGCCGCCGACGGGGAGGACGGCGCGGCCGACGGTGCGGCGGTCGGCTCTGCCGGTGACTGTCCGGGGGCCGACGCGGCAGCGGTGGTGGGACCCGCCGGCCTGGCCACCAACGGGGAAGACGGCGTGGCCGACGGTGCAGCGGTCGGCTCTGCCGGTGACTGTCCGGGGGCGGCAGCGGTGGACGCTGTCGGTGCTGCAGAGGCAATAATAGCGCCGGTCGCATCAGGCGCCAGGCGGAACCGGCGTCCCCGCTGGCCGGGGTGCCGGCGTCAGCACTGGCGCCGCACCGATCGTCACCGCCGGCAGTAGCGACGGCTGCGACGGCGCTGTGGCGGGTGACGAGAGCGCGGGCTCGGCCGCAGGCGGCGCGGCGGTGGCGGGCCTGGCCGCCGGCCTACAGCCGTCCCGGTGCACCTCTCGCGACTTCTTCATGCGGCCTCTTCTTCTGGACACGGCACAACGCTCGACCGACTTGTGCGGCCGGCCTTTGTGACGCTGAGACTTGGGCCGTTGTGACTTGTGTCGTTGTGACTTGTGTCGGTGTGACTTGGGTCGTTGTGACTTGGGCCTATGCGGCTTGCGCCGGGGTGATCTGCCGGCGGGGCGTGCAGCAGCCAGCAGCTGATCGCGCTCCTCGTCGTCGACCAGAGCGGCGCCGCGCTGCCGTGGCCGGCCCAGCGCGGCGTCCAGCCGGTCCAGCCGCGCGGCGAGGCCGGTTGGACCGGCTGGATCGGCTGGACTCTGGCCGGCCGCCGTCAGCCGGTCCACGCAGGCGGCCAGACTGCGGCCGCGGCCCAGCAGCAGGCGGCGCCGGCAGCGGCCGCTGGTCGAGCCGCCGGGCACCGGTCGGGCCAGCGCGGCAGCCAGCAGCAGAAGCAGCAGAAGCAGCAGCAGCGGCAGCAGCGGCGGCGGAGGGATTCGGCACATGATGCGCCACCGGCGGCCGTCCGCGCCGCCTCACCCAGTGTGTGTGCGTGTGTACGGGAGCGCGCGGTCCGGGTCAGCGGCGGACGTGTTGACCCGGTGCCCACCGGCGCACCGTTACTCCGCCAACACACCGTGTGGACACACGACGACGGGCTGAGCTGCCGCACCCTCCCCGGTCAGCGGCCACCACAACCGTGTCACCGCAGGGCCGCCTGCTGCATAGAAAAGGCGGCCTCATTCTGTACTCCATGCTGCCATGGCTTGAACAGTCAGATTATCCCCGCGCGGGAGCATGGACTTTTGAAGCATGCCGCTCTATATACCTCTATGAGTCAGCATAAGCGTAGGAACATTTCAAAAAGTGGAGGGAAAAGCTCAGAGTGTACTTCAGGAACTTTTTCTGGAAAGCGAGCCCGATGACCCGGGGGGGGGAGGGGTACGGATGGAGATTGTCATCGCTCTTTATTCAAATGTCGTGGCTGCTATGCTAGCTATGCATCTACAGCTGTTTATCACTGGTGCATAATCTTGCCTGTTCCACTCATCTGTCATTTGGCAAATAAGGCTATCCAGCTTTCCTAGATTATTCGTCCATTTAACACTGTCTTTCCTGGGGAGACGAAATCCCACGAGAGGGTAAGTATTTTGGGTCATTAAGGAAGCAGTTACCTCCACAGTGTAGATGCCAAAATACGGCATGGATATAGGCTGGTGAGAATTTTGAAAGTGGATCGATGGCTCACAGTGCGCCAGGTTTTTCATACGCCTTCATTTCGCTGGCTGCTTTTCAAGAAATGAGACTTGTCGCAGCATTTTAGGGCGGAAACAAATTGAGGGACTTGAAACTGCCACAAACGATGTGACAAAATCCATAAAACTGGAGATTCTCCTTTAAGAATCAAGCCACATAATAGGGCCCATCTGTCATATGTTTCTTATCTGGGCCCTGTTCCTGTCCGCCGTCGGTGGTCACTGCCCTAGCCTGGATGTCTCCCGCATGGCTGACTGCGAGCTGATCGTGTGGCTGCCTTAGTGCATACTTTTGGACCAGCGCTACTTCTACATGGTGCATGCAACATGTGTTGGACACCTACAACAGTACTTTTCCCGAATTCATCTTTCATTATACCGCACCATCGCAGAAAAATAGCCTCCAGGAAGCTGTCCTGCCTTAGGTATGGATTGACCCAACGGACACTCCATTGCACACCATGCAACGTAGGCGACTTGATCTGCTTTTGTGTGTAGGCAGGGGCGTGGCCAGAGCCTTGCCAAGAGGGAACACAGGTTTGACAAAAGCCCGTCTTATGGTGCCCCTCCCCCCACCCCCCCCAAATCCCCGGATGTGGCTTACTCGTTAACAAGTGACACCATTTTCTTCGTTTTATTGTTATTTTTACCTTGTAACGAGAACAGAAACCGGGAGCTACCGTGAACTCAATTCTGTTTGCATTTTGAGGTCAATAAGCTGCAGAAATCAGGCGTTGAACGACTACATGGAAGAAATCACCGCCGCTCCTAATTAACAATGGTTAGC